TCTCTCAGCCCCCCCCGGGGGGCTGGGGGGGGGCGAAATCGCCACCTTCTGGGACATTTCTGAAGCTTCCCAAGCTTCAAAAGAGTCCCAGGAGGTGGCAGTTTCGCTCCATAAGACGCATACACTTTTCCCCTGACTTTTTTGGGGGGGGGGAAAGTGTGTCTTATGGAGCAAAAAATACGGTAGTTATTTCTATAGCAAATTAACTGGAACTTCCATAACGCCTCCTTTCTTTCTTCTCCAAATATGCTCACTACATATATACAAAGCTTGAAACCATAACAAATATTCTGAAATATTGGTATCTGAAGTTCTCTTATAGAAGTTAGTACTTGACTTTTTTGGGGGGGGGGAAAGTGTGTCTTATGGAGCAAAAAATACGGTAGTTATTTCTATAGCAAATTAACTGGAACTTCCATAACGCCTCCTTTCTTTCTTCTCCAAATATGCTCACTACATATATACAAAGCTTGAAACCATAACAAATATTCTGAAATATTGGTATCTGAAGTTCTCTTATAGAAGTTAGTACTGATGAACAAGCCAAATTCCCAAACCTACAGAAATTTACCCAATTTTACAATTCATTTTAATTATACAATATCAGGTCCACAGCAAACAATGAGTTGCAGTATTATTTAAAATTTGAGATTGATAACCCTGAAGAATTTTATTTAGGGGCCTCCAAAAAGGAGACAGTACTGAGCTCACACAATCAAACAGTGTTCTACTAGTAGTACAGTTAGATGAGATCAAGACCTCAAAAAGAACAGGAATACACAGATAAGTTCAGAACTGCTGCAGGGGATGGACTGGGTAGGAATACAATATGCTTTCTGAAGCAAGGAACTGCCTTACTTTGGTCAAGTCAAGGTCTGCCTGTTTCCGATGTCGCCAGAAGGTCACAGATGAACGCGAATGCAGCCGGGTCACTGGTTCTCCATGCACTAGCAGTTTTATGAATACACTTAGGACAATAACACCATTCACAAGCCACAGGATCAGAGTGGGCATCATCCAACCAAACCAACCACCAGAACCTAATGGAATCATTGATGATGACAAGCAACACAGGATTTGAAGAAAAAGCAAATGTCAGTCAGTATCAACCTGAGATGAAACTTGATAAAATAAACAGTGTAAACAAGAATGTATATGAATCTCTAGGTAAAAGATCAGAGTCTAGTAATCCTCTCCTTCAGACTTTTAAGCTCACAAGAAGCCACACAGTTAATTACAAACTTTGTTCCCCATTCAGTCCATTTTACAAGCTTAACCAAAAAAAAAAAGATTTAGGGAATGCCACCTATGTTTTTCTCTACTGCTGCTAGAGAGCAAGTGAAAGCTAACCTGCATACTGAAGGGACAATCTGGAAGACATTAAGCATCCACAGTGCCTAAACTCTAAAATATTCCCAGAAGCGGTACTCCAAGTATCTCTGCCATCTTCAGTGATGGGGGCACCTCTGGGGGAAGAGAAACCCCAGATACATAGAATTGCCTCTGGCTCCCTCTACTGGCCAGTTCTGGTAACGACATTATGGAAATGCATATTTCTGGGGGTTTTCTTTTAATATTTTCAGACAGCAGATAAGTGAAACTGCGGAAACAGATCATGCAGATACAGGAGTCCCACTGCAGAAATTTCAAAGTAAAGAGATCTTTGCAATAAGGACATGTTCATACCACTCCAGATTTTCTTTTCAGCTATTATATCTGATCCTCTAAGAATACTTAACACGGCATAACACACCACTGAAAATATAGGAGAGGATGCTGAAAATGTGGATTTATGACAGTACCTGTATCTATTGCCAGAACACTCCTCCCAGAACCAGTATGTACAGGGCCATCTGGGTCAGATGTCCTTTGAACCTCCAGCAGGGATGTCAGTGGATTGAATGAGAGACAGAGAAATGTAAGAGCACAAAGCAGCATCCGTGAACGGTCAACCATCCCAAGAGCAACAGCTGGAGAGTCAGGTTCATCTTTAACCTAGATCATAATAGTGGTGGGTGGGGGAAGGTGAAGGAGGGACAGAGAGGACAGCGAAGTAACAAAGATAATTGTTACCGATTACACACAACCAAGTTTATAGTTTCTTCTCTTTTTTTTTACAGTTAACTTACCATAGCGTGAAAAAATCATTGTATAAAAATTATACTGTCATTTGCCTTTATAAATTCATCTGGGCATGATAGCACAGATGTAAAAAGCCAGAAAGAGGCACTATTAATTTTCTCATTCAAAAAACACTATATTTGTAGTTCTTTGCCCTGGGTAAATTTACATGATTATTTAACAGCTGTAATGTTCATGAGTACTAAAATCTCTCTTCCAAAAATTGTAACTGAACTCTACTATCAAGTCTAATGTTCTTGAGAGATTATAGATCAAATAGTGAGCTAGTGCTCTTGTTGAAATTGACCACATTAAGCCTACAGACTGGACTAACAATGGTTATTTCTGTTTACACATGTATTAAAGTAAACTGGAGAAGAGAGAATAAAGATACATTATTTAATGATTTTCATTACGGGATGGAGGATCAAACCTTTAAATTAAACTATGGCATAAGAATTTACGGAAAGAAAGTCTAGCATGACAAGTACAAATAAACTCATAATCTTCCCCACTTGACTCATATCTTTCTCTACAACAAAAATTTACCATAGTATATAAATCCTGAGTACATAGCAGGTCTCTATCTCAACCAACACACACACCACCTTTCTTCATAAATGATATGCACTCATATATACACCTATTGTAGAGCGCTTTAGGACTGTTAACTACCTTTGTATCATCCAGCAAGGGGCTTCCTGGCTCTGAATCAATTGAATAAGGGGAAAAACCTGCTGGTGATCCTGAGTCAGAGGCTGGAGGAGACATCAACAGAGCATTCTGGTTGAAATCATCCATCTTCAGATCCACATCATTATCCACCAGACTGCTTAAATCAAAACCTTTCAAAAGCTCTGTAAAGATCAGAGATTGCAAATATTAGCTACTCACATCCACAGCGATGTCTGCCATTCAGTCTATTTTTATCATCATGCTCTCTTGTGCACAGTTGTTCATCTTTACCTACTCATGAAAAAAATGGATAAATAATAATGTATCTCGATTAACCACTGTGTTATCACCTGCTCCAATTACTTAACTGTTTTTCTGGTTAGCCAATTTCAAGACCATGTTCTCCTGTCGCAGCTTATGGTTAACCTGCTGCAGATATTTAATGTAGTCAATGGCCTTCCTCAGTACACCAGACTTGTGCATCTGTGAAGAATTTGCATACATTAGAGAAAATACATCATACAGTAAATAATGTCATAGATAGTCTCTCTGCACAAGTTAACACAGCAAGCTTGAAGTGCGTTTTCTAATCACAGGGAGGGAAGCTTAAAGGAGATTTAATTAAGATATATTTGACATCTATAACAGGAAATCAATTTTCCATATAATGTCTAAGCAACAACAAGCACTCTCACCAGCAAGCAAATGATTACAGCTTTTCAGTAGTAAGTAAATTGTCAGGCAAGGCTGTGACTACAAGAGTATGTCTGGTATTTCATCCACTGAGAAACACTTACTTTGGCATCTGTTCCCATGACTAGATCCTTCAGTTCTATGATCTTGTCATTTATAGATGATCGGTATCGTTTCTCAATGATGTTATGAGTTGTCCGTCTCTCTCCTTCCTTTGGTGGTTCTGGCTGCTTGACACCACCAGGCACTTGTTTGATAGGCATCTTCTCCTGTCCTCCCATCATCATAGGCATTGTGGTCAAGATGGTCCCATTGCCACCCACTAAAGTCTACAAAAATAGTAATAAATCAAGTAAGAGAGTAATTATATAATTAAAGCACAAAGCGACAATAGAAAGCACACAGTATAGCTATACAGCTCAGCTCAGCCTCTGCGTGCATAAGATCAAGGAAAGCTCCTTTTTTTCACAATACTGGACTAAATGTGCATATCATTTGATTCAGTACAAGGCATCTTTATATGTCCATAATTTGTGGACAGTTCCCTGGAGCAATAATATCACTTCACAAAAAAGACTGACAGCTCCACTCCATTTTCACAATGGTCTGTTTTCATAAACTCACAGAATAATGGTGTTGGAAGGCACCTATAAGGCAATCAAATCCAACCCACTGATCGCTGCAAGAATCCAAATCAAAGTACATCACGTTTTCTAAATTTCTCTCAAACGCCTCCCATGTTGGAGCTCTTACCAACCTCTTGAACTCTCGGTTGATCAAGAACAGATCCTGTCCCTCTTCTGTTTGACAACCTTCCACATATTTGAAAAATGCCATCATATCTCCCCTCACTCTTCTTTTCTTGAGGATTAAAAATATTCAGTTCCTTCAGTCTTTCCTTACAGGGCTTAGTTTCCAATTCCCTGATCATCCTTGTTGCCCTCTGAATTTGTTCCAGTTTCTCTTCATCCTTCTTAAAGTACAGTTTCATCTTGAATACATGGCACAGTACTCAAGATGAGGCCTAACTAATGTCAGCTAGAGAAGAACTAGTACTTCATGGGATTTGGAGATTACACTTCTGTTAATGCAATCTAAAATAGGATTTGCCTCTTATTTTTGCAGCCACATTGCACTGAGGAGCCAAGGTGGGGCACTGCCACCAAGTGGGCATCCACATGGAGAAAGTTGGGCACTGAACCACTGATCAACTGTTTGGCTGGGAAACAAACCACACCAAACTGCTGAACCAGCAGTTTGTGCCCATCTCTATCCGAGATGTTTCCACAGTAGGAAGGAAGGAAACTGAGCACTGTAGGGGACTAGTCTAAAAGTTTTCTTTAGGCTCTAGAACGTTCCGAGAGTTTGTGCAGGCACAGAAACAATTCACATGTGTGACTTACAGAGTCCGCAGAGAAGCAATGTGACCTTGGTCTCAGCCCTCCGGTAAGTACAGACTGCCAAGAACATTAAACTGTTGTCTCTGATAGAGATATGTTGTTGTTCAGATTAAGCATAAATTTGAGCAATACCCAGGAACCTTTCTATGGTCCTGGACCATCCAGATAGGTTTGCTGACTGTTCGGCCTTTTTTCAAACTTGTTTTTTAAACATACATATTCATTCTAGTGAATCACACTTTAAAAACTTTATAGTACACATGCTGTATGAATCCATTTTAGTAAGAGGCAGGGAACTTGTGGCCAGATTAGCTGGGTTTAATGGGAACTAGGAGTCCAACAATATCTGGAGGGTGGCAGTTTTCCCGGCCCTGGTACAGACATTCCAATCACAGAATTATAAAATAACTGAGTTGGAAGGGGCCTCTAAGGCCATCAAGTCCAACCTGCTGCTCAGTGAAGGAATCCAAATCAAGGTACATCTGAGAGATGATTATTTTCTCTTGAATGCCTCCAGTATTGGAATACTCACCACTCAAGAAAGAGCTTAAGTGTAGCCAAACATGTTTAAGAAAACACCCATGATCTATTCTAAATAGTCTCTTAGAGATCTGTGCCATATAAATGATCCCTTTTCCAAAATGGACATGCACACTGCAGTTTTTAAATTACTCAAAGTATTTTTAAAGGATCTAGAAAATGCAACTCTAGAGGAAATAGAGAAAAGAAAGCAGAATGAAGAAGGTAAGAAGCCCAACAATACCTGCAGGGCTGTTGTCTGTATAGGTGTAGTGAGTGTTGTCAATGCTGGATTCTGAACAGCAGTCATAACAGGACTGCCATCAGCTTTTAATGTTGTTAAGACAAGGGAATCTGTCTTGATTATCTGTGGCTGGACAAGCACCTGGAAGAAGAGACAGCAGAAATGTAATACAAGAAAATGAAAGTTGCAGCAAATGGAAATCTCTTTTTCAAACTGGCATCTGTATAACTCCATAAAGCATCAATGTGCAAAAAAGACAACTATTTTTAAACAGAACTCCACCCTACGTTCTTCCTTTCATACATGCTAGAAGCCAAAATGAACTCACCAATGAGCCAACTTATTAAAGACCCCAAGAGTAAATCAAATACTATATGCCCACAGTTAGGCACTTGGTAATGGAATCTGATTTCCAGTACAGTATCTGGTGCATCAAACATATCCATGCCCTTTTTTGGAATGAAACTCCCTGGTAGCTAAAAAGACCATTCTAAACAGTGCAGACTCCATCTGCTAAAAGCTTCCATAAGTGAAACAAGAAATAGTTCTTTACCGCTAATGTACTCTTCCTCCACTTAACACAGCAGGTGATATTTTACAAGTCAACAGCCAATTGGATATATTATAGCTCTATTATTACAGATCTAATAAAGGGTGCACAACTATGGTCCTTCAAATAACTTCCATAAGTCTTAGCCAGCTTCACCAAGGGTGAGCAGTTATGGGAGCCAAAGTCCAAAAACATGTAGACAATCACAGCTGTGTACTCCAAATGCAAATGCTGGCCATTTTTCCAAAAAATTCTCTAACCACTTTCTTTCAGTATCAATCACCATGGCTTATTTTCTTATCACTGCCCTAACCCACAGTTTAGCCCATGAATGATGTATGCTTTACATTCAGTACTTGAATGCCAAATCATCTCCATCATGATGTTATCCCCCTGATCTGGAGTGTTACGGTAAAAGCATGCATATCTGGAAAGTGCCCATAAATAAATCCCATTGAACCTAAAGAGAGCAGCACAAAATTACTCACTGGAACTTGCTGGACCTGAGGGGCAGCTACAGCCTGGACTGTGGCTGGCGTCAGTGTCTGGATGGTGCCATTTGCAGTTTGCGTCAATACCCTCTGAGCCTGCATGGTCTGTACCTGCTGCTGGATGGTTACTGGCTGAACTTGGGAGGAAGTCACCAGACTCTGTACCTGTGGCTGCAGCACTGAAAGCAAAACAAGACAAATGAGAGAAAGCACCTAAGGAAAGCTCATCCTGAAAATAAACTAGGGATCTCTGCAATTGCTGACCAATAACCATGGTTAGTTTTCTGCCAGGCACCTTGGTAAATGCCACTGTAATGCTTTCTCATAGCAGAATTCAACCCAACAAAGCAATCTGTGAAGAGCTATGAACCAGTTACAAGCAGAACCACATAAAATGGCATCAAGAAGTAGTTTATATCTGCATTTGCAATATTTATTTAGGCAAGCTCTTCCTTTACAATGTGGTCATTAATCTTCCACTGTCACTTGCATTCTGATTCATACTCCAGTGGTGGGCAGCCTGTGACCCTGGAGGTGCAATTCCCTGAATCTTTAGCCAACAGAAGCAACTGTGAGGTGTTTCCAACTGTTGCTAACAGTTCAGCAACAACTGGAAAACCACAAGCTGCACACCCAGCTATATAAACGTACTTAGAACCATCTCTCTGACTCTACAAATTCTATGCATCTGTGTATACACTCATGCTCAGTTTCTGATCTGAAATTACATGACATTATGAAGGACGGCCTACCAAATACTCATACACATCCTTCCTTAAAACACACTCTGAAAAACAATTTGTTCATTAAACACAAGGCATTACATTTTACAGATCAATTTTCATCTTCCATTCATCAAACACCCTTATGAAGTTTTAGAGCTTTTAATGTATATTCCCACCTAGTTTATTAAATTGGCCTCATCTGATAAAACAAGATACATTTTCAATTTTCAAAATTTTCAATTTCCAATATCCAGTCTAGATATACAGCGTTTAGATCTAACTGGTCGTATACTCATGGAGCTGACAAAAGCTTCGGAACCTACTATCAGAGCTTTCTAACAGGGAAGAACTTTTCTTATGATCATCTCAGTTCAAAGTGAAGCTGATCAGATTTCAAAGATTAGTAACATCTCAAAGATACAACACTGGCTCTAAATATTCCTATTTGTTCAGACAAGCTTTGCTTTCATTGAAAATCAGGGCATGTTATTTTCAGTAGCCAGCTACAATCTTACTACTTACTGCTTTGAGGATCATGAGAGTTACCTTGAAAACTGGTGGCTGCGTTTTGGTATATTACAGGCTGCTGAATTATTCGGGTTTGAGGAGCAGTGCTGAAAGTTGGAGTAATCATCACCGTCTGCTGTTGAAGCTGAGGCTGCACCTGGGGACGAGGCTGAAGAGGGGGTGCAGCCCGTTGTGGAGCTGGTGTTGTACTGGCTGCCTGGGACACTTTTACTTGTACAGTTTGAAGCTGAGGAGAAGCTGTATTAGCTGAGAAGGACTGGAGTTGTCCCTGGCTGTAGTTCCTCTGTGATGAAGAATCAGACGTTCCATCCCCATTACATGTACTATTGTTCTGGAACGTGCCACACAACTGATCAGAAAACAAATCTGGAAAATCTCCAACTTGGTTGCTGACAAACTGTAGCATCTCTGCAACAAAGCCATTTAAAGAGAATGTGTATCAGTATTCATCACCCTCTAACAGTAGGCTGATCATCTATGAACAGCATGAGCTAGCTATATAACACTTATTTGCCCCTTCTGGATGGAAAATCATCTCCCTTTACCCACAAAGATAGGGAAACGTTTTAGATGTACTGTGATCTGAGGTGTACGCCAGCTGTGGAGAATGTTGAAATAAACCAGATCTTGTTGTGATTAGCCATGCCTTGTTCACATGTCAGCTAGACTGCTACAATGTGCTATGCTGAGGGGGCAGCAGGGGTGTTAAAGTGTCTGAAAACTCACTGCTTCAAAGCAGGGCTGCCTGGTTATTAATCAGATTTTTTACACGTGGTCATGGTGCAGTGATTAAATACCTCCACTGGCTACGAAGTCTGTTGTCAAGCACAGTGTTGACTTTAATTTTAAAAACCACCTGAGAGATAATATATGATGCACTCACACCATCATCTGCAGAGGTTTTGCTTCAGGTTCCCTCCTCTAAGCTGTAGGAGAGGTAGCTACTGTACTAGTTACAGGTCCTTCTCTGCTGTGGCACACTTATGCTCTCTTCCACCCATATTCCAATATATACTGAACAAACACTAATTTATTTGTTTTCAAAGCCAACTATAAAATCCACACGTTCTTCAAAAACCCCATGATGTTTGTTGATTAACATTTCAAAGATGTAGAGAGATTCTTTGTGTGTCTCTTTGCTGCAAATTAATGGAAGGTGGACACCTTTCTCCTACTACCACTTCCATTATTAAAATCAGAAATATTCAAATTACCATCTCCCGCAAAAAGAAGAAAAAAATGAAAAGCTATAAACAAATTATTCAACTTATTAAAAAGAGTTGAGGTGAGGACAGTAGAGGAACAATAATAACCGTTTTATTAAGAAGTTCCACTGTCCAAATCTGTAAATAAAAAGCTAACATAAACTTTGTTAAAAGGCATCTAAATATCAAAGTAGGGATCCATCTGCAGTTGCCATCTATATACCACACATTCAAACAATGGAAGATATACAAGGTTAATGTGGGTGGGCATCTGTCCTTCCAGTGTTCAAGTAGCATTCATTTAGCCACCATACAGGCATGGAAATCTATTTCTCATGACTACTGGTTAATTTCCATGAGAAACAGAACACACCCATATGCAAAATTCAAATAGTGCTCCAGTACAAATTGTATTTCTCCAGTGTGTTTGAATCCCAATGGCTTGCAATGTTCAAGACTTCACAGAGATCAAATACAGTATATTAACATACTTCAATCTAGGGAAGTAGAATCAAGAGGTAACTATTTTCTCATCTCTTGCTATTAAACAATTTGTAAATTTTGATGGATTTTTTAAAAGTTAACTTGGAAACATGTGAAATTTTATATGAATAGTCTATTAAAAAAGGTCTACTTGTCAAGATTTGACATTTTATAGGTATAGAGTGTTAAAATAATTGAGAGATTGTGGGAAAAGGTAGTCCTGAAAATGAAAGTGCTTTTAGAAATGAAGCTTGTACAGCATTTACTAAAGTCATTGGGATATAATTAGCCAGTTCTCCAGCCGTGCAAGGTCAATAGCACAACATTCCTGACAGGTGAATGTGTTTTAAAAATGATAGCAAGCATAAACAAAAGAGAAAAATTAAAGTATATTGAAATAATTAGAACATATTTCATTACAATGTGTTGATATGACCAAAGATGACAGTTGCAAATCCTATAACATGCACTACTTGTAGCTAAAATATTGTTTTTCCAGTACCATGGAAGACCACTCTTTTTTTTTCTTTCAAGCCTTTACTCCTCCACACTTGGCAAGATAAGAATGTTCATTATCATAGTGGCAACCTGCCAGATTCTGAGTTACAAGTTCTTGTAGTTACAGAATGTACACAGACAACAGAAATTCTTAGAGAAAGTTCACATTAAAAGACAGCATTAATTTTTGTCCCCCTTGGTGCATCAGACCTCTATTACTTGCAGACCCTGGAAAAGAGACTGTTGTCAGATTGAAGGGAAAGGTAAACAAATAAAAGAATTATAAATAAAGGGAATGTTTACAGGACATGTACATGCATTCAGCTCATCAACATGCCACGCCACATACTGCACACCAAGAATAATCATGTAGCAGTAGTGGAAGATGACAAGAACATGGATTTTCCTCCACAGATTCAAACTAGTTTGGCTGAGTGAGCATTTAAAATTATTAGTATCTTAAAGGCTAACAAATGGATTTTATTGAATATATTCTTACTCTTAAAAACATTGATATTTTAGAGTTATAGTCTACAATGTTTTGGTCCGTGCTTCGCAAGACGGTTCCCCCCCCCCGGGACCGATGCTTCGCAAGACAACGATTTTAACAGTTGATCGGTGGCTTCGCAAAATGGCTTCCCTATGGGCGATCTTCACAAAACGGGTGTCTTCAGGACTGATGCTTCGCAAGACAGCAATTCTAACAGCTGATCAACGCTTCACAAAATAGCTTCCCTATGGGCAATTTTAGCATGACTATTTTCCCCATTGGAACACATTAAACGGATTTCAATGCATTCCAATGGGGAAATGCTTTTTGCAAGACGATGTTTTCGCTAAACAGCTATTTCAATGGAACGGATTAACATCGTCTTGCAGGGCACCACTGTAGCTGCTCCTAGCAAAGACCAAGTTCACATGGTATTCAACAGCTACATTAGTATTCCTTCCCATTTCACACCTTACGAAGTGCATCTCAATGAACAAAGTCCCAGCGTAAGGAACTTGACAGACCTAAGTAATATGACAGCCTTCTAAGATTAGACAGGCAGAACCCCAGTTCACTTTTTCAAAAAATAAAGTCAGATGGCAGCTGATCTAGGAGCAATTCCCTGTGATATTACATTCTACCACCTAGTTTATTCTAATATGGGTATCACCTTAACGTTACCTTTGAATTGGCTATAATGGACCAAAACAGTCACTGCAATTTTTCATCAGAAAATGAAGAATGATTTTCATCCTTTAAGCTGAAGCTTCAGTCCATAATTTTACACATAAATTTGTCACAGTTAATTTGCTAATTAAATCAACAGAAATTGAGATGACTCTTACAGATTCATCATTCACTTTGGCTGAGAGGTGATGTATTCACAAAAAAAAGCTATGAAGAGAACAGTATTAAAGTTGCCATTATAAAATAATAAACATGACTGCCAACAGACCCTTACTACAGAACTAAGAAAGACAATATACACACTTTGAAACACGTAGAAGCCCACGTAACCCAGACAAGAATGCAATTTACAAGCAAGCTACCACCTTAAGAGACATGTCAGCCAAAGGTAGAAATACAGCATTTCTTCATCTGCACACAATTACGGAGCCTCAATAATCTTACATAGGCCAACATCCTGTATAGGATCAAAAATCTCATCCAACCCAGGAAGCAGGTACACATACTACAAGAGAGAGGTTAACTGAGTTTTTCTCTTATTCTATAGACACCAGAACTCCAGGCAGAACCAATATTCTAAACAGAAAACAGAGATTATAAAATCATAGGGTCCACTATATGATCAAATCCACAAATGCATGGAAGCAACTTGGAAGGAGTGTTTAGAGTTCAAATATAAAGGTCTATACACTTATCTTTGTTATACTTCTCCTTCAAGTCAGCTGATAGACTACTCTCAAGAACATAGCTAGAGTGAATGATCCGACTAACCATCAATGAGTTAACAGAATTTTATATGTACAGAAACTTGATAATCAAAGGAAATGGTAGTCTGAAGAGTGAAAGAAGACTATTTATTTAGCAAAGCTCAACTGAGAAGAGATTAAAGCAAAGTGAACAAGGCCACAGCATTTTGAGATATCTTCAGAGAGCAAGAAGCCAAAAATTGGGCAAATGAAGAGACCACACTAGTTATAACCTGTACTGACGTAAGAGATATAGTTTTGATGGCAAGACAATGACTAAGTGTTGAACTTCTTCCTAAGGATCAAGGCATTACCAGCTTATGGCAACTCTATGAAACTGTGACCTCTGAGGTCTTGTTATTAACAGCCCTGCTCAGGTCTTTCAAGCTCAAGGTTATGAATTCTTTTATTAAGTCAATCCATCTCATTTTTTGTTCTTCATTATCTGCTGCCTTGAACTTTCCCCAGCATTTTTGCCTTTCCAGTGACTATTGTCTGCTCACTATGTCCCCACAATACAATGGCTTCAAGGTTAGACATTTTATTTCTATAGACAGTTCATGCTTGATTTGATCTAGCATCCACTTATTGGGGGGGGGGGGTCTATGGTATACCTTAACCTTTTTTGTTACATTGTAAAACATATTAAAGTTACAAGTCATTATCTTTGGTAGAAACCAGACTACTGTACTTTTGTCACTTCAGCATCCAAAAAAAGTAGTAGCCAGCAGCACAAGATACAAGAGAGCACCTGACCCATATGATACTCCTCCTTCACCATTTAGTGAGAGTGCTGCCCTCTATCCTTAAAGTAGCTAAAACACTATGGTTGCAGCATATATTAAATAAAGATAATTTTGTCAGTTGCAACTGCAACTTCATTATTGAAATCTTAACTTCATACTGAAAGAATTAACAAATCATTTATAACTAGTTACTTCCAAACATTGAGTATAAAGTGCTCAAAGTGTCTCATAGAGATGATGGGAGCAAGGTTGTTTTTTTTTTTTAACAGCTCCAGAAAGACAGTACCAAACTCATGGTTCAGATCATAAGCAGGAAAGTTTGACTAAACATTAGGAATAACTTCCTGATGACTGAAACATTCAGCAATGGAAAAACCTACATTGGAGATGTGGACTCTGTTTCACTGGAGATTTTTAAATAGACGCTGGATGGCCATCTCTAAGGGATGTGTTAACTGTGGGTTTCCTGCATCAACAGGAGACTGGATGATTCTTGAAGTGGTTGTGCTAGGGGTACTTTGAACTCTACAATTTTGACTTTATGAGGTTTTTT